AACATATGGTATCTTCTTTGTTTTTAAATCATTTTTGAAATTTTTTGCACAGAAGGAATGAGTTCATTATGATCTATTGGATCTACAATTGTCTGGGTGAAATAAATATAGGACAAAAAAATACCACACAATACCAACCTGGTACGGGGTGGTATCTTGTGGTGCACAATGTTGAAAGTCATAAATGACACTCTTACTATCATGTATTCAACCATCCTAAAGTCTTGGTATGCTTTATATCATATGATATGTTCTTATTTCAATACTAGTTAATACCATATGGTATATACTGGTAAAAAATAGCTCAATTGTTTTTGTTCCAAAAATATATCAAAATGAATATCATCTTTGAAGAGCACAATTAATCTAATCTAACTGTGAAAATAAAATTAAATTTTGACTTAAAACGAGTGAGAAATCGCCCGTTAAAAATTAAAGTATTTACAGAAAAGAAAAGGGGCGCTGATGTGGTGGATAATAACTAGATTATGCATGATTATTGATCTATGTGTTACTAACCCGACCGATCGACACCTATATCCAGTGGACTCGGTCCGTAAAGTTCGATCTTGGCAAAATCTATCATTTTGAATAATCTTCATCCAAACCACCCAAAAGAAATCAAACATCTTATGACTCAGGACCAAGGTTGTCAACCCGCGGGTCGACCCGGACCCGGTTGAGTTAGTGGGTCATGGGTTAATGGGTCACCCGTTTTAATCCGGTTTAGCCCGGAAATAAGGTAAGAGTCATTAATAAGGTTGTCAACCCGGTTTGGCCCATTGACGCGGCTGAACAAGTGAGTAAAAATCTAGCATATTTTTATCCAATTATAAATTAATGGATTGTTGTTTTGGTGACATAGAAAATTTGGGACCAGATCAGCAATTATCCTGCCTCCTATCCAACAAAGAGATGCGCTTCCAGCCTAGACTCTAGAGTCCAAACCTAAATCTAACTCTCCCATTTTCTTTCTATTCCTTCTCCGCAACGACAAATCAATAATCCTACCTTCTTTCTCTCTCTCCAACCTCCGATCGCTTCATCACTTCTTCTGCTTCTTTTCGGGAAAGGGGTAGAGAAGCTGGCAGGAGCCTCCCTTTGCAACAAGCCCAGATTATGTTCTTGGAGAACGTTCCACCGCTCCTCCATCTTCATCGTCTCCTCCCCTCGACTGGAGCGGAGCTTCCTAATGATGGCGTTGAAGTTAAACAGCCCGGTACTCACTGGGTCAAATCGTCCGGGTATACCGGGTTTGACTGGGCTTTACCGGGTTTGACCAAATCCGGGCCAAAGTTCTTATGAGCTGTAGGAACCCGTTTTCATGGCCGGGTCCGGGCTAACCCGGGTCAACCTGCGGGTTGATCCGCGGGTTGACAACCTTGCTCAGGACATGAAGAATGAACGAGACCACCAACAACATTAATCACGAAGTGATGATCTTTGTTAAAACTGGAAAAAATGAGTAATGGGCTTTTATGTATGGGGTTGCTGGAGTTATTTCGTTGGGTTAGTTCTTCTTGTGGGCTTCCTTCATATTAGCGGGCCTACCCATCTGGAATTAACAAGCTTTTAGGGCCGTGTAGACGACTGGACTCCGGAGTTCAATTTGCCAAAAAATGCGACTTTTATCCCGGCAGAATGATCCATTGCTGGTTGAGGTGTTGGCCCTCCGGGAAGCTATCCTATGGTGTCGGAGCAGAGACTGTCTCTTGGTTCGCTTTGAGGGGATGCAAAAGTGGTGGTGGATAGGCTTCTTTTGGCACAGGGGAGAGATAGTATGGCGGGTGCTATTTTCAGTGAAGTGTTGCTCTACATGGCTGAGAATGAAAGATTTAGTGTTCGGTTTATTGGTCGGCGTAGTAATAGGGTAGCCCATTTGGTGGCTAGAAAGACCCTCTCTTTGTACCCGTTAGCGAATCGTTCTTTTGATTTTGTTGGCTGGTTAAGGCAGGTGGTGTAATGATCTTTTCTTGAATATCAATATATGATTATCTTTTGCAAAAAAAAAAAAAAAATCCCGACAGAACTCTATTCGGGTGAGTATCACCCGACTCTCAGTAGCGTGTATGGGATGAGATATGTGTATTGTTTTCCATCTGTCTTGCCCAATCCCGCGTCGTTCTTGACCTGTTTTATTATAATTTGTATCAATATCCACGTGTATATTTTTCTCTTTTGGCCTTTCTAAAATCATATTTTCATCTCAAATAAATTTGTAAACTCCATTTTTCAATTATTTAGACTCAACTATTCCTTCTATTATATTTATCATTTGTTTATGAAGTATTTTCTCTATATGTTATTGTCAAAAAAACATATAAGAATGGGTCACTCCGCTCTATTCCGTATCCGCGTGGGTATTAACAGAAACGAACTCCACTAGTGCGGGGACGGATATGGGTATTGATATAGCCGCCTCGCCCCTCTGCCATCTGTATTCAGTACGTAGTACGTACAGGCTATATATGACTCAGACTGATGTATTTAAGGAGTACACGATACTTCGGGTACTTCTAGTGAGATATCTCATATCTCTATCTAGATCACGAATGGATCTACCATTAATGGATAAACCCAAGACAATGATTTCTCAAACCAAACCCAAATATCAATTTGATAAAAAATAATAATCGACGATTTTGATTCATCGAACAATGAAATAGATCTAGCTAATAGCTAAATCATTTGATACTCGAGTACACAATGCAAGTTATTGCCGGTTTTTTCTTCACTGGCCAAATGGGATCCTAGAGTAAGCCTCGCTCGATAAACGTCCCTTGGCGAGTCGCGACGCAGTGAGAAGGGTTACAACTTACATGGTGATGAGTTATTGAGTAGGTCAACACCTAGACCTTCATCACTCTCGTTCGCATGCAAGACCACACCATCGCTTCCCTCTCCCCTGAAAGATGATAAGGTCATCCGTGACAGACTGACAGTCGACAATCGACATAGCATTCGTCTTAACAAGTACTAGCTAGATGCCCGTGATCATGGTAATTAATTCACATACCCTATATAATCGTATTCATTTTACGACACGTTCGCAACTTATAACTTTATTGGATCTACAAATCAAGAATAAACAGTGGCGAACTTAGAATTGTTAAAGAGGGGTGTCTCTGATAAAAACTTATAATAAATATAATAATTAAATAAAAATAAAAATTTAATAGAAATGATTGGAAGTTCATTTCTAAGTTGACAACGTCATGTTTACTACGAATTATAACGATTTTTCATATCCTGAATTTTTTTTTAAAATACATTTATCGCTTATGTTGCAAGTCAAACATTTTTCGATATTCACAACTACATAATCATTCATAAATTATTCACTCAACCAAAGAGAATCTACCCACATCTAAAATCAAAGTTAAAATAAATTAGTTTATAATCAAATATAGTAAACCACGATCTACCAATTGGCATTTTAGACAAAACAAAGTATGCGTAAACTAATATCATTAGCATTTTTTCTCTAGTTCTAACAAATTAACCAAAATCAAACCACAATCTCCCATAAATCTACGCAATTCACCTATTAACCACAAATTGACAAGTTAAATTGGGTTGTGGGTTACTTAGAACAAGCATGCTAATTTGATTTTACTTATTATTGTTAATTACTAATTATGATGAATAACTTTATAATATTAAAAATATTGTTGTATAATGAAGGTGTGTCACTTATAATTATTGCGGTGTCGGAAGTCTCAAATTAAAATTTTTTGTACCGGAAAAATGGAGGTCTTTCACAAAATTTTTGGGCGGAGGGGGGTCGGACGACACCCCTCCCCTAGCCCTAGGTCCGCCCCTGGGAACAGATACATATTACAATCATTTCGTTACATGTTGTGGTACTTGTGATCCCATGAATATATCAAAGATATTTCTGATTGGATGTTTCGATATATGAACATCTAACGTACAAGAACTTGGTCTAGTGATCATACTAGTATTAGTCTTGAATCTAGAGATCATAGTTGTAAGTCTTTTAAATTAAAAACCAAAATATACATATATGAACATCTTCCTAGCTATCCTACAACAGTATCACGACTAGGTACTCTTGCAGCTGTTATTCCACATCTTCTTTCACTCCTGATAGAGTGCAAGTTCTCTGTCTGTTTGTGTGTTTATTGTTTTGGTATTCAATATCAATCATGCATATGCATATGGCCCTACACAGTACTGAAACTTCCTTCTAATGAAAAAATATATATATATATATATAGCCATCTCAAATATTCACTCACAAGAAAACCCAACGCTGGCCTGCAGTAGTAATTCAGTTTCCCGTTAGTAATCGGCAGCTAACTGGGCTCTACCTCCTGCAGGAGCCTGCAGCATTGAAGTTAATTTAATACGATCTTATATTGTGGCCGAAAGACCTTAATTATCGAAAAGACCGGTTGTTAATATGTGTGTTCGTTTTCCAAAATTTAACAAACGAACAAGTTCGTTAACTATCGTTCGCAACTTGTTAATATACTAGTGACGTACCATAGAATACTTCGATGAATAAATTTGTCGACATGCATTTCAATGAGGTAAATATATCAATAACTGAAATCAATATATAAGAGCTAGATTATCATTGCCATTCGTTCATTCATTCACATGATCACATATATATCAACATTGTAGTATCATACGAATTTTGCATGTCTTTGCTATAATATTTATGAAGATTGGCAGTAGGCAGACAGCAGCTGGTTGGTTTTACTATTGCCTGCCAGCATTGATTTCTTGGTTTCAATATTTTGACCCTACCAAAATTATAAAACTGAAACTTATTGCCATAAATTTTTTACCCTATCACAGATATTCCTTGTGGAAATGGAAAGAAGAGAGACGTATAGATAGGGATCCCCATGCATTATTGCTTCAACCATTACCCCGTATCCACCCTTCTCCAACCTATTTCAGTACACTAGTACAGTTTCATCTTCATAAATTCTGCCATGGTTTTAATAATTTTGCTGTTGGGAGAATGGAGGTTCGTCTAACATAACTGCACACCATGGTATATCATTCACTACCATGCAAGAACTACTATTTATTCCACGCTAGTCTCCAAACACCAACACATCGTCATCATTACTATTACACAGGCAAAACCCTAGCTAGCTAAACGAGATTGCTGCCGAAACATGTCCACACAACTACTACTAACCTTCCTTTCCCTAGTCATCTTCCTATGGCATTCGCTTCTTAGAAACAAGCACTCGCCGGTCTACCAATGGCCATTCCTGGGGATGCTCCCTGGCCTCCTCTTGAGCTTATCCAACTACACACTCCACGACTTCTACATCAGAGCCTTGAGGCGAACCGGGGGAACGTTCCTTCTCAGGGGACCCAGTTTCGTCAAAGCCGACTTCATGGTCATGAGTGATCCCGCCAACATCAACCACATCTTCAACAAGAACGCGGCCAACTACGACAAGGGCCGGGTTTTCAAGGCCATAATGGAGCCTCTAGGCGACGGGATCTTCAATGTCGATGGCGACTCGTGGAAGTTCCAGAGGAGGCTCCTTCATTCTTTGCTGAAAAACTCCGAGTTCGAGGGTCATGCCGTGCAGACCCTCGTAGAGAAGATGAGGAGCACCCTTTTGCCGGTCCTCGACCGGAACGAGGTGGTGGACCTACAGGACGTGTTCAAGAGGTTCATGTTTGACAACATGTGCCTGTTGGTTGTGGGATTCGATCCCCAATACCTCCCCGTTGAGTCCGAGGGCGGCAGGCTCCCTGAGAATGCGTGTGGCGAGGCGTTCGACGAGCTGGAGGAGGTGGCGGTCTACCGATTCATAGTTCCGATGTGCGTGTGGAGGCTTCAACACCGACTCAAGATCGGAATGGAGTGGAAGTGCATTCAAGCTTGGCGCACCGTAGATAACTTCTTGTATGATAGCATCAAGAGGAAGAAGCAAGAATTAGCGACCAAACACTCCGTCGACAATGATGTGACTAAAAGAAACAAGCTGGATTTGTTGACACAAATCCTGGTCATGAAAGATGAGGGTGACGGTGGTAACAAACCAATCATTGATAAAACATCCGACAAGTTTCTGAGGGACACTACATTAACGTTAGTCGCAGCCGGGAGAGACACCATTACTGTCGGCCTAACTTGGTTGATATGGTGTGTGGCGAACCACCCCGCTATTGAGAAAAGGATTCTCGAAGAGCTGAGACAAGTGATGGCGGCGCGACAGTCAAGTGATATTGATGGTAAGATAAAATATTTAAGTATAGAGATATGCACATATTCTACCGTCTTTTAGATACTAAATGATAGAATTAATTTGTGGCAAATCAGGAGATGCAAGAAGCGGATTTTTGAGAAAAGATGAGTTGAACAAACTTGTGTATCTTCATGCAACCATTTATGAGACACTGAGGTTGTATCCACCGGTGCCATTGGAGCACAAGTGCGCCGTGGAGGCAGATGTCCTTCCAAGCGGGCACACGGTACGTAAAGAAGAGAGGATAATATTCTCCATATACGCCATGGCTAGGATGGAGGAGATATGGGGAGAGGATTGCATGGAGTTCAAACCGGAGAGGTGGATTTCCGAGAAAGGGACCATACTACGTGTCCCATCGTACAAGTTCATGACCTTCTTGGCTGGGGCAAGGACCTGTTTGGGAAAGAATATGGCAATCACGCAAGTCAAGTCTCTGGCAAGTGCTCTCCTTTGGAACTACAAATTTGAACTTATAGATGATGGGTCCTCCGGTAAGCCGACAGTTAGCATGGTGTTGTTCATGAAAGATGGGCTGAAGACTAGAGTCTCTAAGAGAGACCATTGAGAATAATATTGTTCTATGTTGCTCTCTTAATGTATGTTTAATGTGGTGGTCTAGTTGAAGTGCTTCATCTATTTGTCGCTATGTCTAGGGTTTGCATTAATGAGTCGTGTGAGGTCTACTTCTTTTGATTATTTGTGTTGTCCATGTGTTTCATCCAACTACATTGGATGAACTAGCTATTTATTTTCCCTATTGATGATATGTTCTTCTTGTGAGCAATGTTGTCAAAAACGAGTTTCTAAGCATGAGCAACTGCGTCTTGATAACATCATAATCCGGATGAAGGCCTCTGAGGAAGCGAATCAAGTAGTCTGTCTCCTGTTTCCTCTTGAAAGCCTCCACTGCAACACAAGCATTGTGATTACCCGGAGCACCCAACAAGGAATAATATGTGAGAATTGCAAGTAATCCTCCCAAAGACCCTTGACGTTAGTGTAATATTGAGCGACGGTGCGGTCTCCTTGTTTGCAGGCCTGGATCACATCCTCTAAATTGATAATGTGCATGGCATTAGGTTTCCCAAATCGACGCTTCAATTCGTCCCAAAGAACACGTTCTCATGATTCATAATGTTGCAAGCAATTTCTTTCTAGAGCGAATTGATAATCCATCAAAGAACTAAGGTGTTGTAGCCATCCCACTAGGGAAACAAGTCATTAGTAGTAGGAGGTGCATTAACCGAAACATCCACAAAACCAAGCTTATGCTTCATTTTCAGGGCCATCTGCATAGCACGACTCCACATCGAGTAATTGGTACCATCCAAAACCTAAAAAATAATCGATTGAGAGAGATTCTCTTTCCGATTGAGGAAGAAGGGATTCCCAAATTTGATCTCACCTCTGCCACCTGGAGCTAAAGATTATGCATAAGTCCCAAACTAGAATCCAACACCCGACTGGTAGCCGCCGCCTGGAGTAACCAGTGGCGTAGTAGTGCCGGACATCGCCGATGTGAACAATCTTAAAATATGGGGCTCTGATACAATGTAGAAAATATCGAGCTAGGCGAGAAATGGATCGGAAAATCTCAGCTAGAGTAGCTGGGTGAGACTGTTATTTATAGCAGTTCAAGGTTTACTATTTACTAACGGTAACAAACGATTACAATTCCACTTGGAAAGCAACGATAGGCTAGTAATAACTAACTGCACTAAATAAAATGTAAAACATAAAGTGCTGCGTTTTGGGACGAAGGCTCGAAACACTCCCCATATAGTGAATTGTTTTCGAGTCCCGAAACGCATTTCGTTCTTCAATGAAACCTTTTTCTCCAGCTCTTCTCTGCATCTTCAATATGCCCTGCTGGAGATGATGGAATCTGAACTGTTTGACTACTTTAACACCGCCCGACGCAGTCGTGCCTTCACTCTCTCTCCCATCAACCCCATCTGCATGCTTTCACTCGAGTAGATCCAGAGATTCGCCTAGGTTTTTGGGAGCCGCGCCATCATCCTTATCATGGAAGAGATAGTCGATGACGTCGGACTGGAAGCCCTGCTATGATGGGTGTCGGAGAGAAGCGGAAGAGCATGAAGGGAGGAGGTGGCGGGTGGTGAGGTGGGAGCATGAGGAGTCGGCGAGACAGAAAGGGGAGTCGGAGAAGTGAGAGAGGGAGGAAGGACAGATCAGTTGTGGGAAGAGACGAAGGGAAAGTTTTTTTTTTATTTTTTATTTTGAAATAATTTTTATGATTTTTTATTTTATAGGATGCTGAGGTGGACGATGAGGTGGAGCGCCGTTAAAAAGTAATTAACTATAATAGATTAATGTCTATTTTTTAAAATATTTATATATTGTTTGTCTAATTATTAGTAATTCAATAGATTTACCTGAGAACAACACAGCGAAATGCTTTTGTGCTTATGATAATTCAATAATCTAAGGGCAATATTGGGGTTTTCATGTATGGGCCTGTTAGAGTCATCTCGTTGTGTTAATTATTTTTAGTGGGTTTTTTTCATATGGGCCTACCCATTTGTAATTTGCAAGCTTTCCGGGCCTGGTAGACGACTGGACTCTGGAGCTCAGATTGCAAACTCATATGGTGACCATTTTTTTTTACAAATGGTGAGATTTATTGATGAAGCTATTGATTTACAAGCATGGCCTATTACAGCAAGGGGGGGGGGGGGACCAAGTTAAGGATATGAATCCACTTAGAAGGAAATGAACCTCCCATAGTTTCTTTTACAACCCAATCAACACATTTGTTGTTCCTTCTGTTTGTGAAAGTCACCTTGATAAGATCGTTTTGAGAAAGAGTGTGCTTCATATAGTAGATCCAAGCCTTCACTTGCCTTGGCCAAGAACTTCTCCGATTGAGAAGAATGTTGATGGTGATTTGGCAGTCAGAAAAGATAATCGTAGAGCAACCAGAGTCTTGAGCCATCTTTAGTGCAATCAATACACCCTTCGCTTCCGCCACAATCGCCGATGAACAAAAATGGTCCCAACCTTTCTATCAATCACTTGTCCATGATGATTTCAATCAACACCATAAGCCTAAGCCGCCATCTAGAATTCTGAAAAAGCTCCATCACATTATATCTCCTGCTGGAAATAAGTAGGCGGTAGATCAAGGATTGTACAAGGTGGAAATATCTAAAGGCCTTAGCAGATGTTGTTCTAAGTTGTGGACAAACACCTTTAAACACTCATTCATTTTGAGCATTCCAAAGAGCCCACAGATGAGCCATCATTGCCACTAAAGAGTTGAAAGGGATCACTTCATGGAGATTGAAGAGACACATAAGGATAGAGAGGGTGCTTGGAGGGAAAGGGAGATCGGCAAAGCCCTCCTGCCATATGTGCATAGCATTGGGGCATCCAAAAAGACAATGCCACACATCCTCAATATCACCATCACAAAGCGTGCAGTTAGGCGAGTTAATCACTTTTCGAAACCAAATATTCTTCTTTGTCGCCATTGCGTTTCTAGTGATCCTCCAAATGAAATTGAGGATCTTTGGTGGGAGAGATAAACTACAAAGCCACTTCCATGCTTTGATGGAACAATCACGGTGATTAGGGTCGTCAGAACCAGTCTTAGTTCTTTCAGATGCTCTAAAGATCTGGTAGGCCGACTTATAGAAAAAGCCCCTGATTTCTCAAGATGCCACACCCACGAGTCCTCCATATCACTCGAACCAATAGGGATCCTCTTGATTGCCTCAGCTTCTTCTTGAAGGTAGGATTGCGACATCCTAAGAAAATGCTACTTTATCCATGGGAGAACTCTTTGCGGTAATTCAACCCAAACTCACAACTATCCAAGTCGATCCTACCTGGTGAAAGAGGGTGGAATTTAGTACTAAATACTGATGATTTTTGGGTTGGGTGGGAATTTCACTCGTTTCTTTTTTAAATTGGTGGGTTTGGTCGGCCGTGAGTTTTGTCAAAATCCAACTAATTTTCCATCGTCTTTGCACCAACCGATAAAGCAAAACGATAATTTTATATCTAGTCGAAACAATATGATTATAAGAATTATTTATAGATGTTATTAGTCTTTATGACAATAAAATCTAACAATATGGATGATTTCATGGATGGTAGTAGTTTTTGTTGAGATATATTTGTAAGGATATTTCAATAGATGTATGTGTTTCAAGAAATAATGTAGGATGAAATTCGTGAACCCATGGCTACTCATTGCCATATCTCTTATTGCATGGGATCAATATCAATTTAGTTTTACAAACATTAATAAGTAAAAGACACACCACAACCTAGTATCCACATAATAAGTTAACCACACAACACAAACCCAAGATCATCCCCATAGGAAGAGGTGGTCAATTATAATCCGACCATTGATAACACACACTTTATATAGTTCAGACTGGCGTACTCGTAGAATGTATGATATTTCAAATACTCCTAGCGAGATATACGTATTTAGAACACGAATTAAAGCGAGTTTGAGATATGGGACTATACTCTAACATTTAGTGAATAAATCCCAAACACCGATTCTTTAAATTCAAATCCGAATATTAATATTAATCTGTGACTCGTTAGATTAGATTCACTTGAAATATAGTATACAAGATTTTATCTTCATCACTGACCAAGTGGATCCTAGAGTGGCAAGACCATCTCTTCCCTCTCCCCTGGCAGGTGATTATAAGTTCGTCAGTGAGCGATACTGTTTTTGTAATTCAATATTTATCATGCATGGATATGGGCCTACGTATACGTACGTTCGTGTACGCCCCACAGTAGTGAAACTTCCTTTTTCATGAAAATCATCGTGTCAAATATTCACTCACAAGAAAATCGCCATGGTAATAATTAATCTTGGTCAGTTACTTAATTTTAGGGCCGGCTATTTGGTCCCGGACTGTTTGGTTTTACCTGAAACCGGACCGTATAATTCGGACCGGGATCGGACTGGGACCGGATAGCAAACAATGCAATCTCATATTCGAGCTTAGATTTGAGGTAAAAAACTGGATAAAGACCGGATAAGAGACCCCCAACATCTAAAATCAAGGTAAAATTGGGACCGGCCGGGTCAAGACCGGACTGTATCCAATTCAATCTTTGGTCCTTATATTCCCGAAAAAACCGGACTGGGACCGGATCAATTTGGTCCAATTTAACCGGACGTGACCGTATAGCCACCCTACTTAATTTAGTGGTCACTAGATGTAATGGTTTGGGTCACTAATAGATCAGTCACTCAACTTTGATTTTTTAACTAATAAACTACTTCCGAAATAACTAACTTTTAAGTCACTTCACAGCCCAACACCATCTTTATCAATCGTATTCACAAAATGTCGGACTCAGTATTATAATTAGCTAACATGAACAATTGTTTTATTCTATTGCCGATGGAAAAATTAATTTTAATTTTGACTTTTTTGATAGTGGTGACTGGTCAAAATGAGGTGGAAATTTTAACGTTTAAATTTTATTTCTTATTTACTTGTAATTATCACGTCACTCATTTAACAGTCAAATTGACTGTCACATCAAATAAATTTAATGGAGACTAACGGAGAGTGACCAAACTTAAACTATTGAATTAATTTTAATGACTATGAATAAAATAAAATATTTTTAGTGACTTAGCAAACCCAGTACTCAAACGTGAAATTTACCCATATTCATGATTGTTTTGGCTGTTAATTAACATGCTAATCTAATAAGATCTAGTATTGTGGACGAAAGAGAGCTTTTTGGATAGGTTGGCTATTATGTATGTTTATGTTTATTTTCCAACATT